AAAAACCCGTCCTGACAAGCAAACAATTCATCAAGACTTACATGCTGTCCTTTTCCGAAGACCCCGTCTATAAACTCCTAACAAACACAGACAAAACACTATCCGATGGCGAATTAAAAGGTTTCCTCAAAGCAAAGTCGTATTTCAACAAAGGTGACTATGAGAAAATAATCCCTGCATGCACGGAGGAAATAGAATCAAGCGAAGCTGAAGGTGGTTATCATTTTGAGGCGCTGTCATTACGCGCGGCATTTTATTTACTTTCCGGTTGTCAAAAGGAGTGCATGGATGACATGAGCGCCATTATCAATAATAAAGACGTGGATGTGAAGATCAAGGTGAATTCATTGATCAAACGCGCGTCGTTGCATATACAACTGGGTGATATGGAGAAATGCATGGCTGATTTTGAAAAAGCGGCGAAGCTGGGCCCGGAGATTGCTGATGTGTATCATCATCGCGGGCAGATTTATTTGTTGATGGAGCGCACGCAGGAGGCGCGCGCAGATTTCGAGAAAGCCGTCGCACTTAACCCCAATTTTGCGATTGCAGTAGTTCAGAAAAACTACGCGGATTATCGCAGCGCGCTGGCGAAACAAGACGTGCAGGAGTTGTTGGAGAATGTGGTGAATTTCCGCAAGGCTATTGAGAAATTTAAGGACTTTTCAGAGGCTTACGTCTTATTCGGACAGGTAAAACATTAAAAAATGCATTTTTGAAGTTTTTTTAAATTTATTTTGAACAGGTTTTGGCTGAGAGGCAGGATTATGCCGAAGCAGACAAAATGTACGAGACAGCGTTGATTGTAGATCCGGAAAATGCGCCGATTCTTGTCCATCGAGGTATGCTCGAGCTGCAATGGCATGGGAATGTTGAAAAAGGCGTGGAATACATGCAGAAAGCCATCAAATTGGACGATAGATGTGGTTTTGCGTATGAAACACTCGCTACAGTCGAAGTTCAACGGTAATTTTATTAAAAAAACAATTATGCGATGTTTTTGTTGATATTTTTAATGTTTCCAGGGGGAATTTAATTCTCGCTGTGGATTTGTTCAACAAAGCGATTGATTTAGCAAGGACTGAGATTGAAATGACGCATTTATTCTCGCTGCGTGATGCCGCAGTAGCGCAGTTAAAGGTTTGCACGAGATTGAACATTGGCCCGACGCTGGGCATGCAGGCATAAATATTATTCTAAACTGTTAGCGATTGTGGACGAGAATGCCAAAAACGAAAACGAAAATTTTGAAATTTATGCGCATAACCTACAAGCGAGTGTAGTATTAACGGTCGGAACGAGGTGAAATCGATTGGGGACGACGAAATCAGCTGTATACAAATGTAAAATGTACATATTTTCACAGGTTTTCAATTAGTTGTAAATTCACATTTATGCATTGCTGGCTCACATCCTATTTAAATATAAATTC